GGTAAAATGGTAATCTCGAAGGAGACATCATTATCCGGTGATGTTTGGTGAGATCTCCGTCTGAATGTTAGCAAGGAAACAAAGTCGTTATTCTGTATATTTAAGGTGGGGTCATTTTTTTCTCTAACAAGTATAGCTTACAGAATTTGCAGTCTTTTTTTTGGTGATAGATTAGAGGATTTTTCAGCTACCAGCATGTTCCTAGTGAGTGTCGTGTTGTGTATATGGTTACTCTGTATATGGTTACTAGGGGCACCAGCTTGTAGATGACAGGTCAGTCTTCTCGAAAGCTTTGTGGTGGTCATACCAGTATAAGAAGATCGACCGACATGCTTTATTGGGGCGTGTAAAGTGGTATACCACGTTTGCCTTATGGAGAGGGTTGTATGGTTTTCTTGGGGCGGTTCTTGAGTGCCCAATCAGCAGTTCGGTTTGTTTGGTAGTAAATAATGAGGTCCCATTTTTGGTCTAGGGCTGACGGTTTCGCTCCATTTAAAATTATATTTTAAATTATTCTTTCTTCAGTTTTGTATTGTGAGCTGATAGTGGGTATGTCAAGCCTCACAAGTCAAGCCTGGCCTCGGGCCGGGCTTGGGGAGTACAAGAACGACCTGAATCCCATCAACATGGTATCAACCAGGTATGTAATGGTTATATGGGAGGGTTGTTAGCTGTTGTAGTTGTTCTCTGTTAAACCATTTCTCTAAATATCTTCTAATATGGCTGTTGACTTCTCTAGTCGTGTGCCCGTTGTTTATTAACACTTGCAGACTTGTGTCCAGTTCTTGATGTATGTTAAGCCAGTCAGAACCATGAGTAAAGGCTTTGTGTATACATGAGTTTATCACACTAGTCTTGTATCGGTCTGGCCATTCAGAGGGGCCAGTCAGTCATACACATTCCAGTGTTGGCGGGTTTAGTGTAAACTTGTGTGGTGAAGGTGTTGTCTTTGGATCCCACGTAGACATGGAGGCAAGGGAGTGCACCATCGACGCCTGGTTCATGGGTCAAGTTAAACACTGAGTTTTGTGTAAGTAGATCTTTTGTTGGTAACAGTTCATGGCAGACTTTCACACACACGTATGAATATATCATCGATGCAGGCGATGAATCACAATACCGGGCTGAAGAATGTTGACCAGACTACACACTAGAAGGTGAAGGGACGACGACGTTTCGGTCCGTTCTGGACCACTCTCAAGTCGACTGTGAGAATCGACTTGAGAAATGGTCCAGGACGGACCGAAACGTCGTCGTCCCTTCGCCTTCTAGTGTGTGGTCTGGTCAACCAATATCATCGATGTATCTGCAGTAGATGCGAAGTTTTCCCTGTGGTTTTGAAGATGGTGTCTTGTAGTGTTCCCATGTAGAAGTTAGCCAAGAGGACTCCTAGTGGGGACGCCATGGCTACTCCCTCTATCTGCGTATATATGTCTCCCTCAAGGGGAGGGTTGTGAATGGGGGGAAGGAGGCTATCTTGTTGCAATCTCCAGGACGTTACGGAGGGCAGACTCTGGGATAGCAAAGTAATTTACCAGTAACTTGCTATACAATCGTTTTATTGAGAGAGAACATGGAGGCGGGGGAGTGTGTGGGGGGTTGACTGATGTGTTTTTGTGTGGTTGTAAATGTGCATGTAGTTAGGTCTGCCTGCCTGCCTGCCTGCCTGCCTGCCTGCCTGCCTGCCTGCCTGCCTGCCTGCCTGCCTGCCTGCCTGCCTGCCTGCCTGCCTGCCTGCCTGCCTGCCTGCCTGATTGCCTGCCTCTTACCCCCCCAATCCCCACCCCTGCGCCTGCTTGCCTGTGGGTCTGGTCCAGCCACATACCATCAGTGCCGTGGTAGTAGCAATTAGCCCCCTGGGAGCACCGGTGTACGACTGTGGCGTTGTGGTACAAATTAGTGCTGGGACTTGAGACCAAGGGATCGATGGAGTAAATTGACACCCACCTGGTAATTACTCGGGCGACTCTAATCACTGCAAGGTTCGGCTAATTGTCCAAACTGGCGGGTCGCGTCTGATTACAGAGATTGTTGCTTTGTGTGGAGGGGTATTCCATCAGGAGAGGAAGGGGGGGGGTCCTGTATATGGAGTGGGGGGGGATTTGGTGGAGAGGATGGTTGTCTCTGTCGTGTGCCGTCTGGCTGTTAGATTGTTATCCACAGCTTAGGAGATTGTGGGGAATGAGATGGATATAGGAGTTGTGAAGTTGTAATCTCGAGTCATTGTGCCGCTCGGAAGGATGGAGAGGACAGGTTTTTTTTTACATATTGTATATATATATATTATTGTGTATGCGTGTCTCATGGTTGGTCCTCGGGTCTCTGTCACTGTCTCCTGGCAAGCGGTCATGGTAAAGGTGTTTTGGTCTCTCTCTCTCTGCTCTATCTCCTCTCTGTCTCTTCTCTGATACTCGAGGATGTTGTGTTTGCCCATCCTTCTCTCTTGTGTTTGCCCATCCTTCTCTCTTGTGTTTGATTTCTGTCATCTTATTGTTGAGCTCTGGAAGTTGGTCAAACGTAATTTTTTTTCTTTATTCTAAATTCGTGCTGGTGTTTTGAGACACGATTTTCTGTTTTAAATGTACATCTAGTTTGCTTAAGATCAGTCTCTTAATTACTTGCGAGAGATGTTAGTGGTGCGGGTCTATAGTTTAATGGTTATAGTCTTCTCCATTTTTTTATACACTCGCACCCCATTAGCCATTTTCCGGCAGTCAGGAAGTTCTCCTGTTTCTATAGAGGAATTAAATATTATAGGTTGCCAACTGCACAATGCTTCAGCTGCTTCTTTTAGTGTCCAAGGCGATATTTTGTCTGGTCCTGCAGCTTTTGTCACATCTATTTCCTGTAGTTGCTTCTTGATTTCTTCTGGTGAAATTGTCATTTCTGTGAGGCTTCATTGTGGAAGTGCTCATTCAGTTTGGGCTCTTAGCTCTCGTGGGAAATTAGGTTCCAGCATGAATACTTCTTGAACCTTATGTTAAGTTACTCGCATACCTCCGTGTCAAGTCCGTGGCCTTTACTAATGTCAGGTCTGATGACCTATGGAGGCGATGAGTCACAATAACGTGGCTAAAGTATGTTGACCAGACCACACACTAGAAAGTGAAGGGACGACGACGTTTCGGTCCGTCCTGGACCATTCTCAAGTCGATTGTGATGATGAAGTAGATGACCTAGTCATTCACCGTCATCTTCCTCCTCATGTGGCTTTTGGCTATGGAACAATTTTAGCTAGGATTTAGCCCTGTATGTAATGTCATTGTCGTGTTGCTTCTGTGCCACACTCCTAGTTCGTGTGTAATCTTTGTTTAACTGGCCTCTTTGTATACATTATGATCACCTGTTCTGTGTTCTCTGTGTTACTTCCATGCTCTGTTGCTTCTTCTCTTTGCCTCCAGACGCTGCCTGATTAGCCATGGGCAAATGCTCGTCTTTCTCCTCTTAACTCAGTGGTTTTTTATTATTATTATTATTATTATTATTTTCTACCACAGACGTGGCCAGACATTTACAATACTAACCAGCATATATACAGTTTCTTCTGTCCTCCATGGACAGGGTTAGAGATGTGTTAAACATATAGTTCAAGGGTTTATTGAACAACTCATAGTGGTGGTAGGAACCTTCACCGTCATTGAGAGTGTGACAGTCCATCACGACCTCTGTTGTTTTTCTATCCCATTGTATCCTCACCGAAAATTCTCTGACCTGGCATTTGCCTTTCCTATATGCCAGCCTTACACTCTTCCCTGCTTACACCTTTCTCTTCATTGTC